GGGGGGGGGGGGGGGTGAAGGCGATACACAAAGAAGAGAAAAAGTAACATCAAATAGTAACCATCAGGGAGCAACAATATCCAGCAAAAGGGGAGTAAAAGTAGCATCAAATAGTAACACTCACGGAGCAACAATCCTAGTAGCAATTTACAAAAATAAAGGACGTGGTTGCAAAGTACTAGATACAATAACAAACTAGAAGGAAGTAACTTTCAACCCACAACAAAAATATTACTAGTACTACTGGTGAACCTATGAAAAACTCGCAACTACCTGTCAACCTACCAACTTAATCCTCGACCTCCACACCTTCATATCACTAGTCATGTCCTCGGTTAGGTGAAGCACCAACATGTCCTGCTTAATCACCTCTCCCCAATACTTATTAGGCCTACCCCTGCCCTTCCTCAAGCCCGCCATGGTCAACCTCTCACACCTCTTGATCGGGGCATCTATATCTCTCCTCTTCACATACCCAAACCATCGCAGCCTCGATTCCCGTAACTTGGCTTCCACGGATGCCACTCCCACCCTGTCCCTAATAACTTCATTCATGATCTTGTCTTTCCTGGTATGACCACAAATCCATCTCAACATTCTCATTTCTGCTATGCTCATCTTTTGGATATGGGACTTCTTGACAGGCCAATACTCAGCTCCATATAACATAGCCGGTCTAACTACCACCCTGTAGACTTTGCCCTTAAGTCTAGGCGGTACATTCTTATCACATAAAATCCTCAAAGCTAGCCTCAATCTCATCCAACCAACTCTAATACGGTGAGTAACATCCTCGTCAATTTCCCATTGCCTTGGATTGTAGACCCAAGATACTTGAAACTATATCTTGTGGGAATGACTTGCGTATCAATCTTTACTTCTACTTCTTCTTCATGTATCTCATCACTGAACTTGCACTCCAAGTATTCAGTTTTCGACCTACTCAACTTGAAACCTTTGGATTCCAGCGTCTGTCTCCAAACTTCAAACCTAGCATAACACCACCTCGTGTCTCGTCAATTAGTACTATGTCATCAGCAAATAACATGCACCATGACACCCTCCCTTGTATGTATCGTGTCAGGATATCCAACGCTAGGGCAAACAAAAAGGGACTAAGGGCTAATCCCTAATGCAACTATATCTTTACTGGGGAATGTTCCGAGTCTCCTCCTGCAATACTCACCCGAGTCTTAGCTCCTTCGTACATGTCCTTAATCACCCTAATGTATGCTAACGGGACTCCGCTAACCTCCAAACATCTAGCACCACACTCGGGACTTTGTCACAAGCCTTCTCAAGGTCAGTGAACACCATGTGCAAGTCCTTTTTCCTCTCCCTATACTGCTCCACCAATCTTCACACAAGGTGAATGGCTTCTGTGGTTGACCGTCCCAACATAAATCCAAACTGGTTCTCGGATATAGATACGCATGTCCTCGCTCTCTTCTCCACCACCCTCTCCCAGACCTTAATAGTGTGACTCAGTAGCTTGATACCCCTATAGTACCTGAACTAAAATAGTGGTTCAATGAGGTTCTGAATGTGGACTTTTCGACAGGATGATTCAGCTTCCAGCTCTAGCATCAAGTCTCACAAGTGTGACAAGAGCACACGACCTCCATCCCATTGGTTGTCTCAATTTGAGTGGGTATGGAGTTTTGAGAGAAGTGGAAAAACTAATTTTTTTAGTTTTGAAAATCTTAATAGTTGTATTAAGATGTCACTAACGAATGCTGCAAAAATATGTACATCAGTTTCTCAAAGAGCAAAGACAAATTCTATTTCTATTCTATTACTGTTGGGGAACATATGAACAGTTTTTTAAAGAGAAAAGAGCCCAAAACCAAAGATAACAACTACTTTTCGCCTTCAAGCCCATCCCTTTCTGAAACTTGAGCTAATTTCTATCATGCTATCATCTGGACATTATTAACTTCACCAAATCCAGTATCCGAACATAGTGAAAAAATAGAGAAGATTCTTTGCCCTCAAGCCCATCCCTGCTCACCCTATTGCTTCCTGTAAGATTGTTGCACGGGCTTCCACCAATTACTAGATCAAACCTTCCATATGAATCTATGAGCCGCTCCAAGCAATCTCCATCCAGCTGCTGCACATCGTCAAACTCTATAAGATTCCCTCTCTGGTTAGTCTGCTCCCACCAGCTTCTCATAATATTTCTGTTGACTTCACATATTTCCACGGAAATCACATTCTTCAATCGAATACCGAGACGGTAAAGAGCAACTTCAGCACCGCCAATTCCAGAGAAGAGTGATAAGACGTTGATACCATCTGGAAACTTTTCTTTCAACACCGACAAATGGTATGCCACTGTATCAATCTATAAAAATATTGTAACAAGAAAAGAAACTAAATAAATCAACTGACAAGTTTCTTCAATACATTTTGCAAACACAAGATTATGGCGAAATGAGGAGGGGCGGAAGGAAACAAAACTTGGATATATATAAAGCAAAAATCAGAAGAAAGAGAGTTAAGCTTAGCTAACCTGGAACGAGTTACCAAGCGACTTGTATCTATCGGTCCTACTTATACCCCTGGTATGGTTCTTTGGAAACCCTAATAGCATTTCAACTTCATCAGGCTCCAAAGGAGCAACTTTGTTTCTCCCAACCCATACCAAATTCCACTTCCGACATTCATCAAGAACATACTTCTGCACTCTCATAGGTGGCTCACCATCAAAGTCCTCCATAGCTTTCCTGATTCTATCAGTCAATCTTGCACTTGCAATGGATGTTTGCAAACAATTTAACTGTGTTCGTGTATCCCAAGATGGCCACCATTTCTTTGTCAGGGGAAATGCTTCATGAATGGTACATGGGGGAAGTGGAAGCAAAGGAAATCTATTTTCAACGGGCAGATTATGAACATATCCCCTTTTTCTTGCAGTGGCACAAAAATATTTTGAGTCAACAAACTCAGGCTCAATATCATACAAGAATCTGGAAATGGTGTCCCACACACCCTTCGGAGCTAGAGCAACGTTTTCATAATAGAAAAATGGGGGCCCAATAGCTTGCTCCGGAAGAGTTCTTTTGACCATTGATGAAACTGATTCGGTAGGAATACCGTATCCAATCATATGTTTTGGCAATCGAATTGTCTCTTCATCACAAATCACCCTTTGCTTTTTCCTTTTGCGTAATTCATTATACAACGTCCTCTTCATGGATCCACCACTACCATTCAACATATGCTTTAGTTTTGGCTGTCATAATGGAAGGAATGCATCAGTTAATGAAAAATGATATTGCTAATTTGTAGTTACAAATGCAAACAAAGTAGAATAGACTATTAGTTCACATTAGTCCATTTCAAAATACTGCAACGGGAAAGCATACCTTTACATCTTCTGGCAGATAGGCATCTTCTTCTCTTGCCATTTGAGCAGCGTAGATGAAATCTGTCAATTCAACAAGCGAAGCTCCTGGACCTAGAAAGTTGTGAAGAGGACTATAATAATCTGGAAATGAATTCAAAAATAGGTGTTGCAATTCTGAAAAGATATTCAGGAACACCGCAGCGTCAATAAGCAGATTTTGTTCTAAATACAACAGCGTTGGCACAAAGTAGGCTAGGAACTCAACTAATTAGTAGCATCTACCTAGAACTTGCATGAGTAAGATTACTTCAGCCATGATAAAACATTAGCATAATTAATACATATCAAAGCCGAAACTAAATGTCTAATCCAATAGAAGGTTTAGATAAAATTAGCAATATAGAGGACAAAACATAATTTAATATACGCACCACATCTCTCCATTGCTATGGAAGCCTCCTCCACTGGGTATCCCATATTTACCAGCAGTTGCTCTTTTTCAGACAAAGAACTGCTCTCGTCTTTCAAGTAGCATTGTTTTGCAGAATTCTACCACACATTATAAAAGGAAAATGTTAGAAAAGCTTTACATAATTGTGCCCAGAAAACTCATAACAGGATTCAGGACCAGCAAATTTCTTAAATGGTAAAAGAAATATCAGTTGATGCATAAATAGAGCAAAATGTCCTTTAACCCCCAAAATTAGTGAGAAGCTAAAAATTAATGAGTCGCATTCATCCAACTTTCAGCACTATTGTCACAGATCACCATCTCCTCATTTCTAGAAATTACTTCCAAAACAAACAACTTCTCTGTACCCCAAATACCAGTAAAATAAAAAGAAGGAAATATCTTGTGTTTCCTCCAAGTGGAAGAGCCTGATCGATGACCGTCAAAGATAGATGCTGAAAACAGATACATTTAATTTTATTTGTAATTCTCCGCATATTTGTAAAACTAAACCACCTCATATTAATTATAAAATCTAGTAGGAGAAGAAGTCATGGGTGTTCAAAAATACATAAATAGCATGCTACAAAGATTAAAAAAAAGAAAAAAGAAACCAGATCGACTATTTTATATGCCATAGTAAGACACAAGACATTGAAAAGAAAAATGGAGAATGGTGTATGATTGAGGATAACATACTATAGTGTCCGAGTCTGAGGACCAACTATCTTCCTCATAATCATCATCCAGAAAGTTCTCGTTGTATTCAGAAGAGCTATCATCGGAACTAATGCGGGACTCCAGCTGAGAGCTAGTATTAGGCTGTTCTTCAGGAGAGTCTTCAAGGGCCTGCAACATCCGAAGACAAACAAAAAATATGATTAATACTGCAATTTATATGAACAAAGATCAACTTTTTCTATTTTTCGTTCGTAAAAGGGAGTTTTGCTTGTTTTAGAGGTCATTACTTGTGAAAAAAATTAAGGGACGGAAGGAAAATAGTAATGACAATGAGAGGCAGATAAAATTCATGCATGTTCTTAACATAATTCAAGCCTATCTGAGCTATACAGATAGGATAAAGGACAATTGTCATCATTCGTCGCACATTCAACACCTAGGAATCCCTGTGTTCACATGGCACAATCTCTTCAGGGGTTCTAATAGGTTTCACCATCTCCATTTAAGAAAAATCCTGATTCATCTAGACTTTACTCTGAACAAGTAAACGAGCTTCTCTTTCTAGACATCTTATGCAAGTGGTTGGTGAACAAGAATATCTTCATTCTCTCCGCCAGTTACCTTCTCTTATAAAATCTAAAATGAGCGGACATTACGCACCTTCAATGTCAAAAGAGCATCCAGCACCAAACCTTCATTTTCTCCTGTAATTCAAAATAACATAAATACCAGAGTTGGAAAAAAAGTTCAGTTGTATAAAGACTTGGCAAATTCAAATACCATTTTGCTCTATTGCTTTTGCAATAGATTCTTCACGAAATCCCATCACTACAAACTGCTGAATGAACTTGGACTTGGAGGATACTGATGATGAGCTTGCCTTCAGGTAAAAGAAGATCAAAAGAGACCATCAGCTGAGATGCAATGATTTTGCCCCCCCCCCCCCCCC